TTCTTGCTGTGTTGAATAAATCTAAAATAATTACAACTAATTTGAAAAGGGTGGATTTCCAATTATTGTACCAACACCAATAGGGTAAATATACCAAGCTTCACTGTACTTCTAACAACCCCTATGCCATGTAGCTCGTCTTCATTCCCACCACAAAACCCTGATCATCCCCGGAGGAACAATCCTTTTTCCCAGTAGGATCCTAGGGACACTGAGTTAAAACAGAGATAAGACTAGTATAGGCCAAGAGTCTTTTTTTTTTTTTTAAGATTTTTTATATTTATTTATTTGAAAGAGTTACACAGAGAGAAGAGAGGCAGAGAGAGAGAAAGAGAGAGGTCTTCCATCCGCTGGTTCACTCCCGAGATGGCCGCAATGGCCGGAGCTGTGCTGATCCGAAGCCAGGAGCCAGGAACTTCTTCCAGGTCTCCCATGCGGGTGCAGGGGCCCAAGGACTTGGGCCATCTTCTACTGCTTTCCCAGGCCATAGCAGAGTGCTGGATTGGAAGTGGAGTACCTGGGACTAGAACCAGCACCCATATGGATGCTGGCACTGCAGGTGGTGGCTTTACCCACTATCCCACAGGGCATAGGCATTAAATTTTATCCATTTGAAAAGCCAGATGGACAGTGTTCCTGCCCACTATGTCACTTACCAAGTGCCCCAGGGCCAAATCTGGAGTCTTGGATGGGAAATCAGGTCTCCCACGTGGCAGGAGCCCAGCGATGGGAGCCAGCTTCTGCTGCTTCCCCAGGTTTAATTGGTAGCTGAGCTGTGACTTGAACTCAGGCACTCTGATGTGGGATATGGGCATCTCAACCTGTGACTCAGCTGCTAGGCCAAATCCCCATCCTGGCGGAGACTTTTAACATGTCAACTCGTGTTTAATCAGGTAACTGGGCGGGAGGGGGGGGGGGGGATACGTTGGCCCTCTGACCCAATCTCCAGAAGTGGAGGGTGGTTGAGAAAATTAAAAAAAAAATGTGTTTCAATTTCTGGAAACACTTGGTGAGCAAGGTGGAGAACAAGGGCTGCTTGAGAAGCTGAGTTAACATAGATTAGAATCTCAGAAATTCACAAAATAAGCTGGACTTTTTATTTTGAAAAAATGTGCACAATGAACACACTGACCATCACCTAGATTCACAATGTTAATATTTTGCTACATTTGCTTCAAGTCCATATAAAATACATGTTTTGAGCCATTTTAAGTTGTAGCCAATTGAACTTATTTTTAAATGATTCAGCAAAAATCTAATAATTGGAGCATTCTTTTAAGTAGTCATCATCACACTGAAAAATTTAACCATTTCTAGCCCACACAAAGTTCTCCAATTGTCTCTTACATTGTTTCATAGCTTTCCCCTCAACTCAATGTTGGACGAAGAGTCATTTGATAAACTTGGCTGTAGTCTCCTTTGGACCAATTCCCTAGATTTTTGCATTTATTTATTGACTGATTGATCTGACAGGCAGAGAGATCTTCTACCTGCTGGTTCACTCCCCAAATGCCCACAACAGCTGGGGCTGGAAAAGGCCCAACCCAGGAGCCAGTAACTCCATCCAGGTCTAACACACAGGTGGCATGAACCCAAGTATTTGGGCCATCATTGGCTGCTTTCCCAGGAGGTCAGCGGGCCGTTGTAGCAGAAGTGGGGTAGCTAGGGCTCAAGCCAGCACTCTGAGATGCAGTGCTACAATGCCCACACCGACAGTGCATTTTTTTGAAAATACAGTGAAGCTGTTTCGCAGAATGCATCTTAATCTGGATTCATCTTTTTTTTTTTTTTTTTTTAAGATTTACTTTATTTATTTCAAATGCAGAGTTATAGATAAAGGGAGAGGGGCCGGTGCTGTGGCACAGTGTGTTAAACCCTGGCCTAAAGCGCCAGCATCCCATATGGGTGCCGGTTCAAGACCTGACTGCTCCACTGAGGTCTTCCATCCACTGGTTCATTCCCTAAATGGCCACAATGGTCAGAGCTGGGCTGATCTGAAGCCAGCAGCCAGATTTTTCTGGGTCTCCTGCACGGGTACAGGGGCCCAAGCACTTGGGCCATCTTCTGCTTTCCCAGGACACAGCAGAGAGGTGGATTGGAAGACAAGCAGGGCCAGGGCTGGTGCTGTGGCCTAGTGGATAAAGCCACATCCTGCAGTGCTGGCATCCCATATGGATACCTGTTCGAATCCCGACTCCTCCACTTCCAATCCAGTTTTCTGCTATGGCCTGGGAAAGCGGAAGATGGCCCAAGTTCTTGGGCCCCTGCACCCATTTGGGAGACCCGGAAGAAACTCCTGGCTCCCGAAAGGTACAGCCATTTGTGGCCATTTGGGGAGTGAACCAGTGGATGGAACACCTCTCTCTCTGTCTTTCAAATAAATACATCTTTAAAAAAAGAAGAGGAGCAGCTGGGATACAAACTGGCACCCATATGGGATTCCAGAGCTGCAGAAGGCTTAACCTGTTATGCCACAGCACTGGCCCCTCATCTGGGTTTTTAAAATTCCCACTTTGATTAGATTTATTTTAATTTTTTTATTTGGAATTTATCTGAAAAGCAGAGAGAGAGAGAGAGAGATCGATCTTTCACTTACTGGCTCACTTATCAAATGCCCAAAACAGCTGGGGCTGAGCCAGGCTGAAGTCGGGAGCCCGGAACTCAATCTGGGTCTCCTACATGGTGGCAGGGACTCAAGAACTCGGACCATCACCTGCTGCCTTCCAGGGTGTGCATCCGCAGGAAGCTGGATAGGAAGTGGAGCGCTCCAATATGAGATGTGGGCATCCCACGTGGCACCTTAACTGCTGTGCCAAAAGCCCACCGCTAAATTCATTTCAAACGTTTCTGGTGATGGATTCATTCAGCGTGGGAAGGCCTTAGGAGCTGCGATATTTACAGCTCGGGAGTGCGGCTCTCTCTGATGTCTGGCTGCTGATCTCCCCGGCTTGTGTATTATTGATAATTCCTAGCGGGACCATCACTGGCCAGGGCACCCCATGTTGCTTCGGAGACGTTTTGGTTTTCAGTGTCAGGGAAGGAATGAATAGGTTGAGGCTGCTGCCAGACATCCTATAACGCAGAGGTCAATATCAAAAAAGAATTTCCTGCCCCTAATTCAAATGTGCATAGTGCCAAGCCAGAGTACCCCAGGAGGCCCGGCAGCCACACTGAAGCGGTCCAAGCGCATAACCAGGCCACCTGACTTCTCCCCTTCCCTTCTCGTTCCTGCCGCGCTCTGCACACGCCAGCGAAAGCGAATGATTTCTCAACACCGAGGATCCAGTAAGCCCAGAGGCACACTTAGCCACCTCCGTTCTGAAGTTAGCTCTGGAGCTGGCCTGCGACCGGCCCCTGCCTGCCAAGTGTGCCCCCTGAGACCAGCGCCGCAATTTGTTTGAGCAGTCACGTATCCATCTTACTGAGAAGACAAGGAGCCGGTAAAATCTCAGAGCGCAGCCAGCTCACCGTCCTGCCGCTCTCGGGAGTGTACAAAGTGCTTTCCAGCAACGTGTTTTGTAATTTGACCTGACACCGTTTTGGGAGGCGCTTCCCCGCCAGGCGGCTTGTGCCCTGGTACTCGAGGAACCGTGTCCGGCCACCGGCTCCAGGACACCGGGGCGGGGGAGGCGGGCTCGGCCGCCGGGCTCCAGGCTGCCCTCTGCGACTCCTCTGCAAAAGCCAGCCACACACCCAGGAGGCATGTTATCCGAAACACCAGTCCTGTAGATTCGCGTGCGACCGTGGGATTTCTGCCTCCTGAGCCCGGGGGGCAGTCCCGGGGGGGGGGCTCTTCTGCTCTGGGCGCCCAGCCCCCACGGCACCGGGCCCAGCGCGGGGGTCGCAGGTGCATTCCGGCCGTGGCGTTCCAGCTAATCCGAGCGGCCCGGGCAGGCGACCGCGGAGCGAGCGGTGACGACGCCGGTTAGCTTCGCTCTCTCCGCAGTGAGGTGGGGAGGAAGACGTTTTTCCAGGGAGCCTCAGGCAGCAGCACCGTCCTTTTAAAGGGCTCGCATCCTGCGGTCCTCCACCCGAACGTAGAGCCGCTGCGCAGCGCTCACCTGTCCTGCGCACGGCGGCGCCATGTGACCCAGCTTCATCACTGTCTGCTACGCGCAAGCCTCACGACGAATCGCTGTTGACGTCCTAGGACAAAGGGGGCCGGTCCTTCCTCGCCAGTCTTCCTACTGCGCGAAAACGAGCCCCGACCCGAGCAAGCCGCCTGCCTCCCCGGAGAAGCCGCGCCCCCGCAGCCTCTCCCCGGCTCGGCGAGGGCTCCCACCGCGCACCTGGCCGCCGGGGGCCCGCGCCCCGCCCGCCAGGTGAGCGGCGCCAGGCCCCGCCCCGGCTCAGCACCAGCCCCGCCCCGCTCCCGCGCCTGCGCAGTGTGGCCGTCGGCGCCGGGCGCCGGGGCGGCGCGGCCGTCGCAGTTCGGCGGGCGCACTGCGCGTGCGCCGTGGCGACTGGGGGGCGGGCGGCGGCCGCGGCGCGGAGCGGGGGCGGGGAGGCGCCGTCTGGCTCGGGCTGGGGCCGGCGGGAGCGAGAAGGAGCAGCGGGCGGACCCGCGGGGCCTGCGGACGGCGGCCTTGGCGGCCAGCAGGTGAGGCCCAGGCTCGGCTCGGCGGGGGTCTTGTGGGTTGAGTGGGTCGCGGGCTGTCGGGGGCGCGGCGGCGGCCGGGGGCGCAGGTGAGCGCAGCCCGCGGGCCCGGGGCGCATTGTCCGCGGGCGGCGCCCGCACAGCGCCCCCTGCCGGCCGGGCCGGGCCGGGGCGGCCGTGCGCGCCTTTGTTCGCCGCCCCCCGCGTCCCGCCAACATGGCGGCGCGGCCCGGCGCGGCCCCTCAGCGCGCGCTTTGTTCGGAGCCGGGCGGGGGTGGCCCGCGCGGGCGGGGAGGGGGCCTGCGCACGCGAGTGAGGGGCGTTGCGTAACCCCGGCGGGCGGCGGTGGGACCCCCCGGGGCGGGTCCCCGGGGTGCAGGCCCTCGCGGGCTGCCCCGAGGCCGGGGGTGCGGCGCCCCCATCCCCGGTGACCTTGGGCGCTCGCGGGAGCTGGGGGGCTGCGGCCCCGGCCCCGCGGGTGGCGTGGTGGTCGATGGTGCGCCCTCGGCGTCGCAGAGGGTGCTGCTGAGGATCGGCTTGGCGACAAACGTCGTAAGTTTGTTTACGCAGTTGTTTTTTGCGCTGATGCGCCTTTTATGATCTGAGGATTGACTCCGGGTTCAGGAGAGGGTTTTCCGTACATGTAGGAGTGTTGCTGCTGCTGCTGCTGCTGCTGCTGCGGGTGGCTGGGCCGCTCTGGCGTGTCCAGCAAAAAAGCACGAGGCACGTCGAGGTGTGGAACAGGATTCCAGTGTGGAGCGCGTGCCTTGTGCCGGAGACGACACTCGTGCCAAAATGCGAAGACCTGTGTGACTTTTCTTCTGTTCGAATTTTCTAGAAGAAAACGCTGTGCGCTCTGGAAAGGATTGAAGAAGGTAACGGTGATTGCTTTCAGCATAGCTTTTGTAAGGCAGTGAGCATTTCGCCGGAACTGGGGTTTCTACCTGGACGTGTTGTGGGACTCTCTGGAGCACTCAGAGGCTGTGAGAGGTTAAGTGATTCGAGGCTTCTTCCAACTTCTCGCCCCTCCTCCTTGTTTGATGAGCAAACACCAAAAAAAAAAAAAAAAAATTTGTTGTAACTAGTAATTGACGGGACTTTCATTGTCGGATTTGGTAATTACATACTAAGGTTACGCAATATTTTTATGCCGAAAATTATGGATGGTGTGAGTTTCTTAGGAGAGATAAAAAGGAATTTCTATAGTTTTTGAGTAGCAAAGTGGTTACTGTTCAAATGCATGTGAAATGGGTCAGGCGAAAGGTCCAGTACATGTGCTGTTAGTCCTTTATGTTTGGAGTTTAAAAAAAAAAAAAAAGTTTCGATTTTTGGATTTTTTTGAGTCCAGATTTTTGCCAATGAAGTTGTATCTGTGTCCCAGGGGCTTTTGGGTCCAGGACCATCCTCCTGGAAGACACCAAAATCTTTGTTGCTCAGTATTTTGCTAGAACACACACAAGTTTTCCTGAATGCTTGTAGCACAGTGTGAGCCCCACGTAGATAGTCGTTAGGCTGTATCTCTTAGGAAACAGCAACAAGAATAAAGTCTGCACGCACTGAGTTCAGAGGCAGTTTTGTGTTGAGTATTTTCCGTGGACGCTTGTTTGTAGTTGTGGAACCTGCTGAGGGGACTATTTCCGAAAGTGCCTTTAATTACCAGTTCAGAGCAAAATAACAGTACAAGGTATCAGTGAATGCCTGAAGCCCTGTTGCTTTTAGGTGGCATTCTTTGTAATGCTGATGCTGAGAGGTTCCTAGGTCAAGTAAGTTTGGGAAACAGTGCCCAGTCTTTTCTTCCCTTGGGGTCACAGTTCACGTTAGCATGTTGGAGATTCTGAGAATTACTTCAGTTGAGTTTTCCATATTTGGCTCAGAACCCTTTTTTGGTTTGGTTTTTGGTGTGCAGTGAGTGTCCTTGTTATCCAGGAACAGTGGATGCTCCCTGGGAAAAGTCGTTGTGACATGTTGGTCACTGGTGTTTTCGAAGGTCAAAATTACAACAGCTGAACATTTTTTAACTGAATTTGAAAGAGAGAGAGGGAGCATCTGCTTGTTGGTTCATTTCCCAGATGCTCTTAGAGGTGGGGGCTGTGCCTGGCTAGGAGTTGGGAACTCCATCAGGTCTCCCCTGTAGGTGATGGGAAGCAACCGCTTGATTCATCACCTCCAGTGCCTCCCAGGTTCCGTAGTCAGGAGTGGGAGTCAGCACTCACCTCCCACATTCCAGCTTGGGGTGCGGGCATCTCCAGCGCTGGGCTAATTGCCTGCTCCTGAAGATGCTGATTGACCTTGTGATCCCAGACGCCTGCAACACCCCATCCCATGAAGTAAAGGGTTCCAGCCGGCCAAGCAGAGGCTGGTCTTAGTGGAAGGGCTGAAGAAAGTAAGAACAAAGAACAAAGAGCAGATCGATCATTCCAAAGTACTTTCCTTGTATGTTGGGAACCCAGAGACAGGACAATAGAAGAATAACTGGTTAATTCCAGATTGCATCAGGTTGCTTTTTTGTAAGGATTAGCACGGAGGGAACTTTATTATGCTGATTGAAATAGCCCTTGGCCTGCTTGGAAGATTTGGTGGTTATCCCTTCTGATTTCTGGCAAAGTCAGAAAATAACTTGGTTTCAGTTTGGTGTTACGGAACTTCAGTGTGAGTGACCCTGTTTTGAGTTTTAGTCTGATCTGTTGGGGCCTGCTGCAGGAGCCTAGGCCCAAAAGCCGCCTGTAATTTTTATTTAACACTGTCTTTGAAGTGTTATCTTCAATATCTTTTGCCCTTGTGAACTGAGAATCATGATGTTGATGAGGTTTGAGTGTGCTTCTGCTGTGAATAGGACCTATACTGTGAATAGGACCTCATGTTTGGCTGTAGCATTAACAAGTCATGAGAGTTTTTGGTCTCTCTCTCTTTTTTTTTTTTTTTGGACAGGTAGAGTGGACAGTGAGAGAGAGACAGAGAGAAAGGTCTTCCTTTTGCCGTTGGTTCACGCTTCAATGGCCACCGCGGCCGGCGCACCGCGCTGATCCAATGGCAGGAGCCAGGTACTTATCCTGGTCTCCCATGGGGTGCAGGGCCCAAGCACTTGGGCCATCCTCCACTGCATTCCCTGGCCACAGCAGAGAGCTGGCCTGGAAGGGGGGCAACCGGGACAGAATCCGGCGCCCCGACCGGAACTAGAACCCGGTGTGCCGGTGCCACAAGGCGGAGGATTAGCCTATTGAACCGCGGCGCCGACCGAGAGTTTTTGGTTTTAACTAGAATAAGTTTGACTAATAACAGTGTGTTCACTTCCCAGCCAATGACTTACCTGCTTGTACACAAATATTTTGTTCAAATTCGAATTTATGATATTGTGAAAGGGTTGTGACTCCGGAGTTAGCATGGTCTTTCATGTCAGAAACAACCAGGTTGAAATTGAGTCCCATTCCTTACTAGTCAAAAGCCACAAAGCTGATTCATCACCATAGTCTTTTTTATTGTTGTTAATGATTTAATTATCTGAAAGACTGAGAGAGATCTTCCATCTGCTGGTTTGTTCCCCAAATGCCCGTGAAGGCTGGAGCTGGGCTGATCTGGAGCCAGGAGCTTCTTCCGGGTCTCCCACGTGGGGACAGTGGTCCAAGTACTTGAGCCATCTTTCACTGCTTTCTCAGCTACTTTAGCAGGGATCTGAATTAGAAGTGGAGCAGCTGGGACTCAATGCTGGCCCTACTGTAGCCTTTATGTTCTTTTTATTTATTTATTTTTTAAAGATTTTAGTTATTTGAAAGAGTTACACAGAGAGAGAGAAGGAGAGGCAGAGAGAGAGAGAGGTCATCCATCTGCTGGTTCACTCCCCAATTGGCCACAATGGCCAGAGCTGCACCGATCCGAAGCCAGGAGCTTCTTTAGGGTCTCCCACATGGATGCAGGGGCCCAAGGACTTGGATCATCTTCTGCTGCTTTCCCAGGCCATAGCAGAGAGCTGGATGGGAACTTGAGCAGCTGGAACAGGAGCCCATATGGGATGCCGGCACTGCAGGCAGCGGCTTTACCTGCTAGCCACAGTGCTGGCCCCTTTTAAAGATTTATTTATTTGAAAGAGTTAGAGAGAGAGGCAGGGGGTGGACTGGGGGAGAGGTCTTCCATCCTTGGTTCACTTCCCAAATGTCCACAATGGCCAGGGCTAGGCCAGGCTGAACCCAGGAGCTTCTGCCAGGTCTCCCATGTGGGTGCAGAGGACCAAGGACTTGGGCCATCCTCTGCTGCTTTCTCAAGTGTATTATAGGGAGCTAGTTGAATTGGAAGTGAAGCAGCTGGGACTCAAATTGCCACCCATATGGGATGCCGGTACTGCAGGCAGCTGTTCTACCTGCTATGCTGGGTCTTCTCCCCCGTAGTCTTAAATTCCTTAGTTTTACACTGGGATGAAGCCTATCTATTATTTTAAGATTTAATTATTTTATTTGAAAGGCAGAGTTACAGAGAGGCAGAGAGAGGGAGGTCTTCCATCTGCTGGTTCACTCCCCAACTGGCTGCAACGGCAGGAGCTGTGCCGATCCGAAGCCAGGAGTCAGGAGCTTCTTCCGGGTTTCCCTTGTGGGTGCAGGGGCCCAAGGAGTTGGGCCATCTTCTGCTTTCCCAGGGCATAGCAGAGAGCTAGATGGGAAGTGGAGCAGCTGGGACTCGAACCGGTGCCCATATGGGATGCCGGTGCTGCAGGCCGCGGCTTTACCTGCTGTGCCATAGCGCCAGCTCCTGGATGAAACTTGTGAGGCTGTCGTGAGTATTAAATGAAGGGACTTCATAGTTTCTAGTACACTTCCTGAAATACTACAGCTGGTGCCAGTAAATGCTGATGTCCTTCCCCTTTCCACTTCTGAGCTATGGTGTAGTACAGCATGATTTTTTTTTCACGTTGAAGCAAACAGTTTGCTTAGTTTTATCTCAGTATTTAATCCAAATTAGTTTTAATTTAAATCTTTACTGGATGTCTATTTTATGTACTTAGCTTTGCCATAAGTCCTTTCTAGAACAAGTTGTGTATGCCTTAAATACATAAAAATATATTACAGCTTGAGAGGGAAGATATTCATGCATGGGATTTGGGAGTTCTATGCTGAAGGTTGTCTGGGAAGACAAAGTGATGCTACAGTAGGGTTAAGAGTGTTAGGAGAGGGGTGGTACTGTGGCATGGTAGGCTAAGCTTCCTGTGGCACCTGCATCCCATATGGGTGCTGATTTGTGTCGTGCTGCTCCTCTTCTGTTCCAGCTCTCTGCTTATGGCCTGGGAAAGCAGTGGAAGACCGCCCAAATCCTTGGGCCCTGTACTCACCTGGGAGACCTGAAAGAAGCTACTGGCTCCTGGCTTTAGCGTTGCCCAGCTCTGGCTGTTGTGGCCATTTGGGGAATGAACCAGTGGATGTAAGACCTTTCTTGTCTCTCCCTCTCTGTTACTCTGCCTCTCAAATAAACAAAATCTTTTTTTTTTTTTTTTAAGAGAGTGTTAGGAGAGGAGAGAAGTGCAGGTAGAGAGGACAGCAGGAGCAGGGTGGGAGACACTCTTACATTAGAATCCCAGTTATCTCTTACCATTCCTGTGTGAATGTGTTGGTAATAAGAGAAGGGAACTTACCTCCTTGGGCAAGTTTAACTGAGGTAACAGGATCAGTAGGTCTCCTACTGTATAGTAAATGCCTAGTTGACATTGAAGATGATGTTGTTACTATTGTTTCCTACTGCTGGTCCATCTAGGCATGAATTTGGGACAAAATTTTGTTTTTTATTTTAATTTTTTAAAGCTTTTATTTATTTGAAAGTCAGAATTGGAGGGAGAGAGAGACTTCCACCCACTGATTGACTCCCCAGATGGCCACAACAGTCAGGGCTGGGTCAG